GAGACGAGTCTCACAAGTTTCTCTTGAGTTTCTAATTTTATTTATTTCTACCTTAAAAGATTTATTTCTTTATTCAAGAGATTTTAAATTCTCCTTAAGATCTGAGTTACTTTTTATAAGTTTATTATTCTCTTTAACCAAATCAGTACTAATTCTAAGCAATTGCCTTTAAGATGATTTAAATACCTCAACATTATCTATCTCGTAGGGTGCCTTTAAGCAAAATTTATCTTCTTCATTGAAAGAAGATTCTTATATGTTTCTCCCCAAGGTTGATGTCTCTCCCCTTTTTCTTTTTTCGAAGACTCCACTTAAAGTCACTTATTCTTCACAGTTTCTTACACATGAGTTTCCTCCACTTGATGAAGATCTTTCAACTATTGAGTATGTTATTTCAAGGAAAACTTTTGAAGCTGATTAATAGGAGTATGATGAGGTTGATGATTCTTCAATTTTTAAGTTTTCTCCTTCATCTTTAAGTAATTGAACTAGTTCATCCTTTTTTTTTTTTACAATTTCTTTCTTTCTTGATTTTTCCTAAAATTCAAGAAGGCTCACATCTTTTGAATTTAGGATGGATTAAACTTCTAATTCTTGAATTTTATAGATTGGTTAGCGACAAACGTTCCAATATAATTTCTAATATTTCTAAGTTTTGAAAAACATTCAAAGGTGGTATCTTCATCCTCTTCGCCTCGTGTGCTCATCTCCTCTTGCTCAATACTTGAAGAAACTCCATATATCATTTAAGAGTATCTCACATTTCCTTGGCGGTCTTTTAAATATGAACATAAAAGAATTTACTATCATCTTGAGACATTACAATAAAACTCCTGGTTTTGAAATTTATTTCAAAATTTATCTTTTCTTCTTTGGTCTAAAGGGAATCGGGTATATCCACTACTTTTCCATTTACTTCCTTGGTAGGTATGGATAAACGAAATAATGGTTGAAAACAATGTAGTCTTGTCCCCAAGATTTGATCTTGAGAGTATCCAATAAACTTAAGAACTTTTAGTAGGTTGAAATCTTGAACCCCCTTATACTAGGAAAATGAAGTTTGTGGCTAACTTCCAACCAAACAACAAACACAGAAAGAAGAAGTGAGTATTCCTTCCAAATAATGAATCAAAATGGTTAGTCTCCTTTCCAAAAGAAACTTGGAGCAGTTAGTCTTCAACCTTCAAACAAATTGTTTACACTAGCTGATCTTGGACTTGGAAAGCTTTTAACATCAAGCTGAACTTGCGAACCAAAACCTGGTTTTATATTGGGTTTGCATAGAACCTATGGGATTTCATCATCAAGATGATATCTAACTGAAAAATCTTTTAACATTGGATTGAGCTTTAACTAAAACTTGGTTTTATATTGGGCTAACCAAGAACTTGTGATATTTTAACACCGGGTTGATCTCAAACCTTTGAAAGCTTTTAAGCAAGCTGAACTTTCGAACCTAAACGGACTTAAAAACACATTTCTCAAACCAAATATTTTCAAAAGGTTAGCTTTGAGTCCAAATAAATAATCTCTAAAAATGGATGAAATTTTCAACCAAGGTAAAAATAAAACTTTCTTGGTGAACTTACAAATATACTCTTTTAGAATTAGAACTTCGTCACTCACAAAATGACTTTCTTAAAAATGATATGGCTAAACTTTAGCGAGAGAAAGTAAACAAATTTTTTAGAGAGAGAGAGTGTGTGAGAAGTTAGGAATGCAACCTCAGGTTTTTAGATGTGAAAATATGTGGGAAATGACCTCTATTTATAGACTAGAGGTTGACACAAAAAAGGAAAAAAATTATGGCCAATAATGATGAGCCAATCGATTGGGATAATGCTTCAAACGATTGGTAGGCCTAAAATTAGTTGATTAATAATTTCAAAAGGTAAGAAAATATAAATAGTTATTACCATTCAATAAGGCACTATCTTAATCGCTTAAGGAATATTTTTAATGGGTCCAAATGATTGGGCAAAAGCGCCAATTAATTGGAAAGAACAAAAACTTGCCCATGGCTTTTCTAACAAATCTTAACTTATTTGGCACGAATTCAAGGCGTTTTTAGAATTGCTTTCTTGAGAATTTTCAGAATTAATTCAAACAAAAGAAGAAATTTAGCGCAGAAGGAGAAAAGTGAAAGTTCAAAGTAGCATACCTTTGGTTTTCTTTATCTTCATCATCTTCATTTTGCAGGTTGGTGAATTTTTCTTTCGCCTATGTTTACTAGATCTTAATACTGAAATATAGCTCTTGTTGTGGGGAGTCAAAGCCCCAAGGTGGAATGGCTTGATTCATATCCTTCTTCATTTAATTTTAGTTTTCGTAGTTAGGGTTCATAACTTTTTTGCTCCAATTTTAAGATTTGTTTAATCTTTGATAAAAATTGATGAAAGATTAAGAAAGAGGATGTTGAGAGGAGTAGTTTAGTGGTGCTATTTTATGATTCCGGCCAACTCCGCCTCCTCCGACACGGTGGAGCAAGATTCCAGTGGTGGTGCTCTTGAGAGGGAGATAACATGAACATGATGTGTAGAGAGGAGAAGAATTTAATGCTGAATTTATTCCATTTCCTTGCAAATTCGGTTGGGCTTAGAGCCATATGTCCACTATTTTTCTCTTCACATCCCTATTTTGCTTAGGCATACCTCCGGCTAAACCCAACAACAATACTTTATGTTTGGTCCTTATATGTTAGGTTCAAGACCTCTGTTTCTAGGCTGCACACCCTCTGGTTTCTGCATCCCTGCAGAATTAATTGTTTATCCTTTAATGCTTATTTTTAATTATTTTGTCAATGTGTAAAAAAAAATTGTTTTGTCAATTTTTTCTACATTGTTTTAATTCATGACCATGCAAATTTTAATTCATAATAAATTCATAAAAAATGCATGAATTTGGTTTATTAGAATAGATTCTTCTTTTAAAATTTAATTGAATTTAATCTTAAATTTTCTTTAATGCTTCATGACAGTTCCTTATAAACTAAGTTCTGACATGCTTAATTCTAATTTTTTTAGCCTTGTTAATTTCTTGCAATTTCATATGCTTGGTGTATGTTTTGACATGTCCACCCTTTGATTAATTTATCAAGTTTATGCTTGGTTAATTAATTACTTTGGTTAATAATTGACATATCTTTCCCCTATTCATTCAAGTGGCCTCTTGATCACTTGAGTGAGTTGCACCTTGGCATTGGCACCACACCTGATCATTCAAGTTCAAGATTTTCCTTTGCAAGACTATGAAGACTGTGGACATCGAGAACCCGATCACTATTGAGTCTTTTCTTTTTCTTTGTTCATTTAAGACTAAACTCTTTTGCAAATAAATTTAAAAACACTTAAAAATATTATTAGAATTGTGTGTTGTGAGCCTTAAGCAACTGAGAAGAATGCGAGGGATTATTCATATCCTTGTTCTGAGTACCTTTGAATACGGGACATAGGCTCCAGTTATTCAAAGTATTCGCCTTCATTCATAAACTTTAGTGCAATTCAAATCAAGACCATCTTTTTAAAGCTAAAATCAATCACAACTCATCAAATCCATTAATCCGCCTTAAGGCATCCCAAAACCTTTTCACAAAAGGCATGTTATTTTTGTTTTTCCGCAATACAAACAACGCTTAAGTCTCTCATGTGTGAATATACAAGCAACGTTTAATTGAAAGAATGTGAACGTTAACATCGTCTAATAAAAACAAACAACAAACACTTATTTTCTACCATGAGTTACGGAGCTCTGATTTTCTCATTGCACTATGGAAATACGTAGGCACAATATTTCGAAATCTTGTTGAGCACATTAGTTAAAAACTTATTTTTCTCCTTAATTAAAACCAATCACAAGTAACCTTTAGATAATAACACTCATCCACGCAAAGACTAATAAAAACGGTTTCCGTCGAGTACAACAAATATGAGGGGTGTTAATACATTCCCCTCGCATAATCAACTCCCTTACTCGTTTCTCTTTCCCTTGGGTTTTATCGATATTTTCCCTTTCCTTTTGAAAAAAATAAAGTTTTGTGGTGACTTTGTATTTTTCGCGTAGCGACACCCCCAAGTCTTATCTTCAGCCGATTCAGTAGAACCCAACTGGCGACTTCTATTTGCCCATTTGTTAGAGGGTGTTCTATTAACGTAAAATGGTGTTTGATTTTCAAGTTTTCAAATATTTTTCAATTTTTTGTGTGAATTGTGTCCCATTATCATTAACAATGAATTACGGGATCCCATACCTCGCCAATATGCTCCTTTTGAAGAATGCATATTTGTTAGCTGAAGTTATTTGTGCTAAGGCTTATGCTTCTCTCTATTTGAGAAAATGGTCTATTGTGAAAATTAGGAACTTCAAATGCTCAGGGTTCAGGGGAAAAGGGTCTAGGATGTCTATATCCATTGTGAGAAAGACTAAGGTTATGTAGATAGATTGAAGTCTGTCAGAGAGACGGTATGAATGTCTATGTGCTTCTAACATTGCTCATATTTTTTTACATACGTTGTGGCATCCTGAATTATGGTGGCCGTTTGTGAGGGTGGCCACTTGACACATATAATGATTAAAGACATTTTAGAGGATTGTGATAAGATATCTTGTGTCTCAGTGAAGTTCTCCCTACCCATCCCTACTACTTGAAAAGGTTACGAATTGGACCTTCGTGATCGGATTTGCTGCTATGAGCCTCTAGCCCGTCCATAAGTTTTTTTTATAAATTTATTATATTTTTCAAATAACATATAATAAAGAAATGAAAATAACAATAAACAACCATATTAACTTTGTCCCAACAAACTCTAACATTATAACTTTTTTAAATAAAAAATAGATAAGAGCATTTTACAATCAAGAATTGATTGTTAATACCTAATAATTATATAACTCAAACTTATATCAACCGAAATATATAACAACAAAATATTCTCTTTTGTCCTTTCTGTCTATCTTGACTCTATTAAATTGAACACCATAACAAAGATTACAAGCTTTTGAATTTAATAAGGACAAAGAATCTCCCAGTCACCCATTTGAACCAAACTTGGAGCATGAACATTCTCCGCCTCTTGTTTTGTCTCGACAACGCGATTCTCATAATAGCGATAAACCGCCGCACCGGACAGTACTGCCAATGTTAGTGCCTGAGCATGCATTCTGTAAACCAAACCGAAACTAAGTTAACATCCTAATAATAATAATAATTGTAAAGAGAAAGGGTATGTACCTAGCATGGATAAGCCTAAGACTTGGCTTCAATGGAGATTTTGTACGTGAATATGTTACAAGTGTTGCTCCAATTCCAGATGCCCAAAGTCCACCTGTAATTAGATCCATTTGAAAAATTACTAAGTATTAAAATATGTGAATGTAGTTAGAGACGAAGATATGTTAACCTATAACTTACCAACTGTGGCGAGTTTGTGTTTTGAAACCCATGATTGAATTGACTCCATGTTAATTTTTTGTGTTTCTCTGTTTGGTTATAGAAATGGAAATTGGTTTTGGGAATATTTATACAAGAGAGTGGGCGGGCTTTTTCGTTTGGCCCATGGGTTTGTTCGTTAAGGTGGATTTTGCACCTGTTTTGTTGGAACGTGGAAAAAATTAAACAAGAGGAGCCTTACCCTGGTTTTGCCGCGGAGAATTGTGTGGGGTTTGCCACTTTCTGCTTTTGTTTGCCAAACAAAAGGAAAGTGTTTTTCTTTACTCACATGTTGCATGTTTCATCTCTCATCATCTAGTATGTCAACATAACTCATATCTTCGGATTTCTATCCGAATCCGCTTTGAATTTGACAATTAGCATCCGTTTTGACTAAGTTTAAGTTCGAGTTTAAATTTTCTAATTATAAAATATGGAGACGGGTCGGATAATGGAGATATTAATATCTACCGAATTTGTGTCATTTATTTTATTATGTATTATTATTTTAATTTTAATATTTTAGAATATTAAATATGTGGTTAATGTTTTAATATTTTGATATTTTGGTTTGTATTTATTTATATTGTAATCTGATTTTGAAAAACAACATGTTGAAGACTATTCAAGAAGAGTCACTTGAAGAAAGCAGAAAAAGAGCAAATGTAGAAGAAGGCAGAGAGGAACGTCTAAGAGGTACCCTTAAAGGACCTAATTGAATGTGAGAAAAACGCAAAAAGAGGGGATGAATTGTGTTAACTTTTTTTGTATTGCTTCTGATTGATTTTAATTAGAGTCTGAACCTGTAGTTTAGAGTCTGACTTCAGAATCACTCATGTGAGTGTGAGTGCATTCTACAACCTAGCCATGTTTTGAAGGATATCAAAACTATGAGTGTGACTTAGCGTTTTTGTATATTGGATGGTGTCAACCTAAATTTAGATGTGTATATGTCATTTTATCCTTAGGATGCATAAAAATAGTCTTTGAACAAGTTTGATAAATCTTAGGCATGTCATACACATCAAAAACCAAGTTTTGTGTGTCAACATAACAATACAGGCCGACCTATACGAGTTCAAGTCGACCTATGAAAGTCTTGGCTTTAGTACAAGTCAGCGCATCCAAGTTACAAGTCGGCTCCCACGCTCCAAGAACGAAGCATGTAGGCTCTGCCCACAGGTCGCCTCAGGCACGGATCCACGTTAGGTACTTTGGGGCAGCTGCCCCCACTTGTTGTTTATAATGTTAAAAAAATTTAATAATTTTACTTTTTACTTAATTAAATTCAAATGTTGCCCCCATAAAAAGTTCAATATTTTTAAGACTTTAATAATTATATATTAATAGTGTAATAAAATTTTCAACTATAATCTAATAAAATATATCATTTTATCATATCATATAAGTAATTTAAAATTTTCAATTTGATTTGACAAAATAGATGGTCGTCATTAGTTAATAATATAAAATTAATTTATACCGTCGATGTATCATTCATTTCTCTATTTTAAAAAATAATAACTTTAAAACTTTAAAATATAAAAATCTTTAAAAAATATTTCATAGATATTAAGTATGTCTTATATTTTATATATAAAATGACAGAATTTTAGTAGTGTCTAAATTTTTTAGTTAGTAAATATTATATATTTATTTTATCACTTTTACAATTTTATATATATATATATATATATATATATATATATATATATATATATATATATATATATATATATATATATATATATATATATATATATATATATATATATATATATATATATATATATATATATATATATATATATATATATATAGTATTTTTTACTTAATAAATATTATATTCAGCTAAAAGATTACATTCAGCTAGAGTATGTCCTTGGGTCCCACAGATCTCACATTCGGGTTGAACCGCATCTGTGGTAGCTGTAGGGTTGATAGTCAGGCTTTCTACTTTTTGGGCTATAGTGTCCATTTTGGCACTCATATGGTCGAGGAAACTGACTTCATAAACACCTCATTTGGTTTCTTTCTTCTCTACTGGGACGCGTTCCATTCCTCGTTGGTAATGGTTTTGTTCTATATCTTTAATGAGAGCGCATGCTTCAGGGTAGGGTTTGTTCATTAAGGCACCACAGGTGGCAACGTCGATGGTCATCTTAGTGTTATACATGAGTCTGTTATAAAAGGTGTGAATTATGAGCCATTGTTCTAACCCATAGTGTGCACAAGCTCTTAATAGTTCTTTGTATCTTTCCCAAGCATCGAAAAATGATTCTCCCTCGTTTTATGTGAATCGGGTTTTTTTGGTTTTGTAAGATAGTGGTTTTACTCGGTGGAAAGTATCTAGCTAGTAATACTTTCTTTAGGTCATTCCAAGTGGTTATGGAGTTTGCTGGAAGGAAATCTAACCATGATCAGGCTCTATCTCTGAGGGAAAAAGGAAATAGTCTTAGACGTATCGTCTCAGGAGGAGCACCATTGGCTTTCAAGGTGTCAGCCAATTGGATAAAAACTTTCAGGTGTTGGTTTGGGTTTTTCGTAGAGAGATTTAATTCAAAGTTATGAGTTGGTACATTTGGGTTTACTATACTAGAGTGGGGTTCTTCGTTAGATGGTAGGGAGAAATCCTTAAGTGGTTTCTCGTTCTGATCTTCTGCCATTGCTCTTTTAAATCTTCGGAGCAAAAGACGAGCTCGGGCATATCGTTCAGGTTCTTCTATTAGATCAGTTAGGTTTCTGATGCTGCGAGTTCTTCACATTGAGCGGCTAAAGGGATGCTTTAGTCTAGACGATGTAACAACAGGGTACGAAATTTGACAAAATTGGTCCCCGACAATGGCGTCAAAAACTTAATGCGTGTTATCCACAAGTATATGGAGTACGTCAAAGTAATATAAAAGATTATTGATCCCACGGAGACCAATGTCAATGTATCGATTACTATTGTTACAGTGTTTATCTAAAGCTAATGAAAACAGAGAGCAATACATGCAGAGGAAAAAAATTAAGGAAACTGACTTCAAATTTAGACCCTTTGGAAATAATCAATTCATCACGCGAAATCTTCAATACTCCATGTTCAACTCTAGTACAATAGCCTAAATCATCAAACATACTTATAGATAACAAATTTCGCTTGAGTTTTGGAACATACCTCACATTATGAATAAGAAGTTCACGATCATTAAACATTTTAAATCTGATCGTACCAATACCATGAACCTTGCATGCCTTATTATTTCCAAGGAGAACTACTTCATCTTGCACCATCTTCAAAGTTTCAAAGTATTCTATTCTTGGACACATGTGATAAGAGTAACCCGAGTCAATGGCCCAACAATCTTCAGTTTCCAAACTCGATACTACTAGTGCTTCGGCATCCCCATAACTTTCCTCACCCAATACAACTAAAGCTTGAACAAAATCTTCATTGACCTTTCTTTTAGGACAATCCATTTTAAAGTGACTGATTTTCTAATAATTAAAACATTTTATCTTTGACTTGTCATACCTCTTTGATTTGGATATCCCTTTACGCTCACCTCCTCCTCTTGAAACATTTAAGCCTTCACCATTATCTTAAATCTTCAAATCTTTCAACTTTGAAAATTCTTTGGATTTCACCGCCGTCTAGACTTCACCCAAAGTAATAGTATTTTCCTTACCATAAATAAGGGCATCCTTAAAGTGCTCAAAGGATCTGGGTAATGGACTCAACAGGAGCAAAGCCTTATCCTCATCATCAATCTTCACGTCAATATTCTCAAGATCATCGATAATCTTGTGAAATTCTATGAGCTGCTCAACTATGGATTTGTTCTCCATCATTCATAATGAATATAGTTGTTGTTTCAGATACAATCTGTGAGCCAAAGACTATGTCATATACAACGATTCAAGTTTTGCCCACATAGCAACCGCACTTTGCTCCTTGACGACTTCTCTTAGAACTTTATCCCCGAGGCACAAGATAATGGCACTCTTGACCTTATCTACCATCTCGGTCTTCTGTACCTGTGTAAGCCCTGCAGACATCAATGCTTCACTCTTCAAAGCATCTATATACTTCTCTTGAATTAAAATTGCTTGCATCTTAATTTTCCACAACCCGAAGTCGTTGTTACCAGAAAATATCTTGATCTGCCATCTACTAACCATGGTGTTCACTTGTCAACAATATCTCTTTGCTCCACGCTCACCGCACCACTTTTTGTGAATCTTGTTGTGAATTATGATAAAATTCAATATCAATTTGTGACGCAAAGAACAATAGCAACCAAAATAAATGGTCTTCAGCAATAATAATTCGTACGCAGATAATATAACAGAGAATAAGGCAAGAAAAAACCGAAGGTTTGCTTACCAAGTTCGATCAAACGTTCTACTATGGGGGAGAGAGTAGCTCTCCAATTCAATATACTCAGAAAGTTGTTACAAGAGATTACATATGAGTTACAAGAAAATAACCTTCGCCTTCAAGTTCTCAAGAACAACCTTGAAGGCGCTAAAAAACAACCTTATTTTCTACCCAAGTGTTTCCCTACCTCTCCAACTCTCAATATATGAATCACTCAAACCCAAGGTGTAATCCAAGGTTTTCTTTGTGCATAGCTGAAATCCTATGTTATACCTTTAAACCATTGCTCTCCCTTGTTGCTGTAAACTCTAAGATTGTCACACACTAAACATATAGGAGATACATATTTATAATAGCAAATATCCAACAAACAAAGCCCAAAATCACATGGATCCATGGACCGAATCTAAAAAAGTCCAAAAACTCGAAAACACTATTCACCGTACGGACGTCACTATTCATCCGTACGGATAACAATATTCATCGTACGAGCGACACTATTCATCGTTCGATATTTTTTTCTCGACTTTTCGTTCGATTTTCGCGGTAAATACAATCTCCAAAATATGTTTTCTTTCTCTTCATCAATAAAGGTTTTAAGGCACATTTACAACAAGTTCACATGTAGAATTTTCCCCCACTCGACTCATCGTCCTCCAATCGTTTTGTTTCTGATAATTTATGAATAAATTAAACAAAGAATATTAAAATACATAAAAAATATCAATTTCAAAATTAGGTAAAAAATTTACCCCAAAACAAAATCCAATCTTTATGAATTTGTGAAAATACAAAATTTACCCTTACACAAATCAGAGTTACTATAATAAAAATACGAACAAAACAACAACACTACTCGGATTGAGAAAATAATATTTTAAAATGAATATGAAGGCTAAAAAGATGAAATGAACATGAAACTTAATAAATTAATTGATAGAAATGAAATACTAAAATTTGAGACGAAATGAAGAAATTTTGGTTCAATGCTGATTTGACACCCGATTAAATCCTTTTGTTCAATGCTGAGTTGACACCAGATTAAATCCTTTTGTTCAATACTAATCTCTCTCTCTCTCTCTCTCTCTCTCGCTCTCTCTCTCCTCCTCTCTCTCTCTCTCTCTCTCTCTCTCTCTCTCTCTCTCTCTCTCTTCTCTCTCTCTCTCTCTCTCTCTCTCTCTCTCTCTCTCTCTCTCTCTCTCTCTCTCTCTCTCTCTCTCTCTCTCTCTCTCTCTCTCTCTCTCTCTCTCTCTCTCTCTCTCTCTCTCTCTCTCTCTCTCTCTCTCTCTCTCTCTCTCTCTCTCTCTCTCTCTCTCTCTCTCTCTCTCTCTCTCTCTCTCTCTCTCTCTCTCTCTCTCTCTCTCTCTCTCTCTCTCTCTCTCTCAATATATTTATCTTCTTTTTTTTAACACACAATATTTTGTTTACTAACTCCAACTCCTCTATTTCTAACCTTTAGTCTAATTTAATTGCACATTTTCACTTATTTAATTTATTTTCTTAAAATTTTAATATTATTTATTAAATTACTCATATTAAAATACCATTATATTCATAAAATTATTAAAATGAAAAAATAATATTGACACTTATATCCATATTAGTGAGATTACAATGCAACTTGTAAGAAAAGAATGAATCATACATTAGTGTGACACAAAATAACATTTATACACAAGAAATTGTTAGAACCGCCTCAATGAGTGCAATGTGAAATATAGAGAATTATTGAATTAACTCTAACAAGATGAACATAATGCTCAAATCCAAAGCGCATTCTCTTAGTGAGAGTTTGACTATTTGTCTGTTTTGAGTAGGTGAATATCTAGATTCATCCTTCAATTTAAAATTTTATCGGGCCATTTAACTAATATGAAACACTATCCATCATTAATTAAAGAATTGAAACAAGAAAGAGATAAAAATAGTTGATGATATATCAAGAAAAAAATTATTAAAGTTAGTATTATAATTGTAAAGCAATTTATAATTTATAATTTTATTTTAAAGTAATTTATAATGTGGACAAGAAAAGGTTAGTGGGGGTGTGGGTCTAGATGTGAATGTGTATAGTAAATTGCTATTTTATTGTAGCCTTCATTACATGAAGTCATGAACCCACAAAAATCTGTCCTCTTTCGCCTTCAACCGAAAGTTCCCGCTCCTTTTCGAACAAAACAGAAAACACCAAACCACACCCAAAAATCAAAAAGCTTCTTCAGCAATCTTTGCACAACTCTTCTAATTCTTCTTCACAACCCTCACACTATTCAATTTCATCTCCAATGGAAACTAACCCTAATCACACCAAAACCTAGCAATGGAATCTGAACGAAAACGAAGGTTCAGTCGCAGAAATCCACTCTCCGATTGCACTAACACTACTCCTCCTTCTTTCTCCGTTCCCCTCAAATCACCAAACTCAAACCTTCTTCTCCGGCGTTCAAGAAATCTTCACCAATATCCACCTCTACTACCAAACTTGCTGCGAATCTCGATATCGCCTCAAACCCTAGCTCTTTTGCACCGGCGTTTGTTTCAACGCCTTTGACCAAATCATCGTCAATTCGTGGTACGTTGAGCTGTTAAGTACTGATTAGTTTATAGCGTTTTCCAATTTTCATGTGAGCGATTTGTTTGTGGTCCTCTATTTTGCAAAATTAGGGTCAATTTTAGTTTCGTTGAGCAATAGATTATGATTTTGTGTGTTGAAAATGGTATAGACATGGATGCGTTTGGATTTTGAGCTGTTTTTGAAGCTAATTTCGATAAGCTTTTAGGATAGTTTACAAAAACTTCATAGTTTATGTGAAAACAGTTTGACCTTTTTCTTTTGAGTATGGAAGTAGCTTATACAATGCTTAAGTACTTAATTAAGTTGATTATTTAAATTGGTATAATGTTTGAAGTATTTGTTCTGGAAATTGTGGAGATTCACTGTTTAATATAATGTTTCTTCTATCGCAACAACAATGTTGTTGCAGTTAGGGAGGCATTGAAAACTTAGATGTTGCTTTTGCATAATTTCTTCTAAAGTCTGGTTATAGTTACTTAAGGGCTTTGTTTGGATTTTAAGCTGTTTATCAAGCTAATTTCTATACGCTTTTAGGATAGTTTACAGAAACCTTATATTTGATATGAAAACAGCTTGACCATTTTTTTAGTATAGAAGCAGCTTATACAATGCATAAGTACTTAATTAAGCTTTTCGTTTGAATTGGTTCAGTGTTTGAATTATTTGCTCTTGAAATTTTGAAGATTCTCTTTTTAATACATTGATTCTTCTATCACAATGTTGTTGCGGTTAGGGAGGCATTGAAAACTTAGATGTTGCTTTTGCATGATTTCTTCTAATAGTCTGGGTATAGTTACTTGATATGATTAATGCTATTGATTTCTTATTTTTCGTAATGTGTTAATCTTGTTAAGTTTATGTTTTTTGTTTTTTACTTCAGGGATTGTTGGTCGTGAGGCTTTTGCGCCTCTTTCAGTAGTCTATGGCCGAAGACATTCTTCAAATAAAAAAAATGATAAAGAGAAGGAAGTGGTTGTTCCTGGTAGAAGCGTGTCTGTCAAAAGGAAGGATAGAGGGAAGGAAGTGGACGTTTCTTCAAGTAGCACACCCATTGATAAATTGAAGGAAGCGGTCATTCCTTCAAGTAGCCCGTCCATTAAAAGGAGGGATAAAGGGAAGGAAGTAGACTTTTCCGCAAAGAGCACGCCCATAGACAAATGGAAGGAAGCTGTCATTCCTTCAAGTAGCACGTCCATTAAAAGATTGTATACAGGGAAGGAAGTGGACATTCCTTCAAGTAGCACGTCCATGGATAAATGGAAGGAAACGATCATTCCTTCAAGTAGCACGTCCGTTATAAGGAAGGATAAAGGGAAGGAAGTGGACATTAAAAGGTGGTATAAAGGGAAGGAAGTGGACATTCCTTCAAGTAGCTCGTCCATGGATAAATGGAAGGAAGTGGTCATTCCTGCAAGTAGCTCATCCATCCCTGCAAGTAGCATGTCTGTTAAAAGGAAGGATAAAGGGAAGGAAGTGGAAGTTCCTTCTAGTAGTGCGTCCATGGATAAATGGAAGGAAGTTATTCATGCAAGTAGCACACCCATTAAAAGAAAGGATAAAGGGAATGAAGTGGACATTCCTTCAAGTAGCACGTCCGTTGATAAACGAAAGGAAGTGGTCATTCTTGCAAGTAGCAGGTCCATAGGTAAACGGAAGAAAGCGGTCATTCCTGCAAGTAGCACGCCCGTGGATAAACGGAAGAAAGTGGTCATTCCTGCAAGTAGCACATCCATTACAAGGAAGTATAAACGGAAGGAAGTGGATATTCCTTCAAGTAGCATGTCCATTTCAAGGGTCTCTAGTACTAGGTAATAATCCCTCTCTCTTTCTCTCTCTTCATTATAGTTGTACAGTGTTGATATGCAGATGGTATTAATTTTAAGGACCAATAGTTAGGGGAAAGTAGGAATGGCCTGTTAAAAATTCAGGAAATGGGGGTATAAAATTAAATGGCTAAACTTACGATTCTAAACCTGCTACTATAAAATTTATACTGTTAAAGAAATTCCCTATCATATTCTGACATTGTGTGCTGTGAGAATGGGCTGTATTTGGCGTGGTTTGGGGATCTTGATTGAACTCATGAATCCTTTATTTTATTAGACATGTACTGGTATTTCATTCATTAAGTATGATTGTCAAACTCTTGAGATAACTTATAGAATTGTTTAAGTACTCTCTAGGTATCAACATTTATTGTTTTTAAACAAACCTAAAATACGACTGCATAAAGATTAGCCTTAGTAGTGCACTAATTATTAATCGTACAGATGCACTAGTAGCACTCAACTCCACAGATGCAAAATTGTTTCAGGTCTGGTCTTAATGTTAATTTTAACCATGGGCTATATTGTTTGTTCCTTTTTCATCAAATTACAGAAAGAAAAGTGATGGGGTTGAAGGTGTGAGTCCACTCAAGGCCAAGGCATTCTCAGTTCCTTGTAAAAAGGTAGATAACTTTACAGTTAAGTTCTGCATGTATTGGGAAGTTGTGAGCATGCCAATTTTGGGTTGTACTCGTTAGCATAGAATAGTCACTGAATGATATTGAGGTGGAAGCAGAGTGTGTCATTTCCTAATACTTGTTATCTTCGCTCACACCTTTTCCCCCACTTGCATACATGTTTCCCAATTATAAGTTCAATCATGTCACACTAGATATTTTGCAATTATTTGATGCATTTTTGGCTGAATTTTCAGAAGCACCGTTCCGGGTCATCTAAACAGGATGTTGTGTACACGGATCCCATCTTGCAAGATTATCTAAAGAAACAAAACGCTTACTTTAAAATGATAGATGAATTTGAACTGTTAGAAGAGGAGGTTGAATCCCTTAGTGATAGCTAGAAAAGTGGTTAGGTGATTGATGAATATGAATTGTCAAAGGAAGAGCTTATATATTTGATAGCCAGGAAAGTGGTAGAGATGTAAGTATAAATAGCAGCTTGGAGATTTTTTTAGTGGGAGGTTGTTGTATAGTTGTGATATGGTTGTATTGTATTTTTCACAATGAATTACTTATTACCTTAGTGTCACATCTCTGACCAAATAAGTAAATGTAAGTTCTTAGTAGTTAATAGTTTTGGTAATTGCAAAGTGAAGTGAAATTTGGTTAACACTTACAGGTCAAGAGTCCTTATGTACTTATCTCTTGTTTCACTTGTAAATTACTATTTGGAGTGTGGTACTAGTAATATATTCTAACACTTTGGAAATTCGTGATTTTGAATGCCTTGGTTTGTTTTACTCATACATGATTCTTTAGAAAACCTATTAGGCCAATTCAAAGTGAAATAAAATACATGTATCATAGTCTAATAGACTTTTTTTGAACAAGCCAAAGATTTAATTTAAATATTTATGCACAGGCCATGCCTACAGAATATGCTCAATGGCGTGTAAGTATATATTTGGTTCTATTTTCGATAGAGGCAAAAGTGATATTAGAATTGGTGAATTAATTTTAATGTTTGATTTTTTCAAATAAAATTTTTAACTTAAATTTACGGTTTAACATACTTTTGCAGGCATAATATATTTAAATATAAATCATTTTACTTTTAAATTTAAAACAATTTTTAGGAAACAATTTATCCAAAATATGTTATCTCTTTATACATAATCATCTTACTTTGTTTTCTTTCAAAAACTGAAACTGACATCCTTTTTCTTATGAATCATATGGGGGATTAGTATCCACCCTTCATAGAATTAGGATATTCTTCATATTTTTTTGAGATTTAACCTACCGGTTTAAATTAACTTTTTTTAAAAGTGAATAAGGTGGGTATCACGGATTTGAATATGCATGATTATCAATTGAATTAACTTAACGAAAATTTTAAATTTAAATTATGAACCTAAACATAAAGCTAAATTTTTTAATAATATATGCTATGCAAATAGAACATTTAAATGTAATATGTTCAGTTGTAAATATTGCAATAAAAGTGATCGTGTTGTTTTATTTTGTTTTATTAGGAACAAGCAATGTTTATCCTCCTAATTTATATAAAGAATACCATAAAATAAAATGAGAAATATGTCATATTCATCTTACTTTAATGATCACAATTTTAGTTGAAAACCTAAAGATTCATTCTAGTAATGCAAGAGAACTCGAAAAAATTTGATATCAAATGTCAAAAAGTTAAATTGCAATACACACATGCAAGTTGAACTCAAAATGTCATTAATAATAAGTGTTCAAATCGAATGACTAAAAAAATAAATATTTTTTCTTATTTTACTCAAGTTTCTTCTTATAATAATAAAAAAGATAAATTTATTAGATCCAAGACTAATGATAAAAGCTAGTCATAATTCTAAGTTTTCTACTTACTTTAATGTGAATAAATAACCATGTGTTTGAATTTATTAGAATTTATTAGAATTATATCTTGGAAATGAGTATTCACGATGCGCACTACAAGAAATATTGTCTTTTCCTAAGTGATATTTACGTCACTAATGTAAAAATCACTTCACTAGCCAATGGTTGCGACGTGGGTAAAACACGCCGGAAATGCAATGGTGGGAACTTTTTCCCACGTGGAAAACACGTCACAAAGTTGTGACAGGATTACCACGTCGCAAATCACAAAATAAAGAAGAAAATTTCCCACGTGAAAACCACGTCACTAATTAGTGACGTGAAAGACATGTGGGAACTTACCTTTACCAAATTGCTCTGCACGCTTTCCTGACACAAAGTAAATTTAGTACCCATGTGATTTCCACGTCACAAAGTTGTGACCTTGTTATCACGTGGGAAACCTCACAGAATTAATATTCTTCCCATGTGATTCCCACGTCACTAATTAGTGACATGAGATTCACTTCACTATTAAATTTAATTATAAAAATAAATAAATAATACTAACTGAAAGCTACTATAAAATAAAAATAAAAATTAAATATTAAATATAAATTTAAAATTAAAATAATTTTTAATTAAAATAATATACATTTAAAATATATAAATATTTAGTCACATGAAATTCACGTCACAAATACAAATAATAATAATAAAAGTTGTGACGTAATATTCACGTCACAAATAAAAATACTAATAAAAAAAATTATTCTTCGCCAATAAATAATTCATCTTCGTTTTGGTCATCATCTTCGGGAGAATAATTCGATCTCGAGGCAAAATATTTTCGCATTTGTGCCTCCATGTCTGATTGCCGCTTCCTCATTTCCTCTATTTCAGCATTTTGTCTATTTCTCATATCATCCATTTCGGCCTTTAGGGCCGCCTCACGTGTCTCCGCCTTTCGTCTCGCCTCAGCTAGAGCTAACTGTCTCACTGTTGCCAACATTTCCGGTGTCAATTCTGCCGGACGCGATCCTCCTTCCCCATCATCGAGTCTTTGAAATAAAGTTCGGTCCCCTTTTCTATAATCACCAGCCAAAGACCCCAGACCAAAAAAACATCCATTAACTCTCTTCCCGCCTACTGTTAAATTCCAAATATAAAGATCAACGCGCGGATCAAGCGGTGCATCCCCAATCGGCGTATATTGAGGATTTTCAGTTAGAAATTGGGCAAGCAATGTCTGGTACAACTCCTACACACACATTAAAAAAAATTAAATTAAATATAATTTAAACAATTTAATTATATAGTAATTATGAAATTAAAAGAATTCAACTAAAATAAACAAGTTACCAAGGTTGATTTGGAACGACCGTCAACAAAGTCGCCCGATTTTTTGGTTCGAGTCTTCACAAATAGCTCATTAATTCGTGGCTCCCTCCCCAAGTCCTTTTTCTAATTAAAATAATGAAGCTTAATTAAATATATATAATAATACAAAAAAAAACTTTAGAAAATAGTTATAATTACCATTCTTCGACGATGTTCGCCGATACTGATACTTCCAACTGTATTAAGACAACCACCTGCTTCAGATGCCCTCATCTTTTTAGCATGTTCAGATCTTCTCTGAAAATCTTCTGTCTTCCACCACTCAACAAGTTCACCAAATATTTCCTCGCCTATCCAGTTAGGACGAGTGTGATCTCTTTCCCAACGTTGTCTAGCATTCCTAAGCATGTCAGATAATCTGCTAGATACCTTACTTTTGAAATTTTTTTTAATTTTGAACTCGTCAAATTTCTGCCAAGTACACCTTTCCTGCAAGTTATATGACAGTCAAATAAAATGTTAGATATATATAACAAAAAATCGTTATAAAATAACATAACTATAATAAAAATACAATTTACCTTGAACTTATCAAACCATATATCTTTCTCCTCATCTGGGAGCTCTCCGAAAGACTTAATGAGTTTTGTATACATCAATTGAATGACCCAGTTTACAGCTTTAGCAGCAGGACAACACGGATCAAAACTAAACAACAATAATTTGAACGAGTATTAAACATAAAATGACAATATATATATAAATAAATATTATAAATTTAAAACATACCCAGATCCCTCAGGCCTAATCAGATGTCGTCCTTCAACCACCAAATGCTCCTCTGCAACAGGATTTGTCTGCTCCTCATGAACATCGTCATCCCCCTGAACAGTGTGGTCATCCTGCTGCTGACTCGCAGGTATATGTGTGGGGTGTGGAATGCGGGAGCTAGATCCCTCTGGCTGGTGCGTGGAGGGTGTCGGCTGAGGAAAACTAGATCCTGAAGGGTAGTGAATTGAACGCAATTGGAAGCAATCGTTCCATGAAAACATGACAATCATGACTTTTCATTCCATGCAACTTCCCAGTTTTTGTGTCAGCACACCTTGCTAAATTTGAAGCATAACCATCCGGCATTCTCAATTCATTTAACCATCGACAAACCGCTTTAGCATCTTGGGAAGTTAGACTGTAACATGCCTTAGGTTTTAATAATTTTCCATTAGGCCGAGGCTTCAACTCCAACTCTTTTCTATCACACAAAATTTCCATGTCCCTTCTAGCCTTCTCATTATCCTTTGTTTTTCCTTGAACATCCATCACTGTGTTAAATATATTATCGAAGAAATTCTTTTCAATATGCATAACATCAAGATTATGTCGCAATAAATTATCTTTCCAATATGGGAGGTCCCAAAATATACTTCTTTTTGTCCAATTGTGTTTGACCCCATATCCTTCAATTCTGTATGCTTCACCGTAATCTGTAAATTTGGACAGTTCAGAAACTCGATTCCATATTTCCTCTGGTGACAATCGCGGAGGAGACAAATTTTTTACTCGTACATCTTTTGTGAAATCAGTCTTGTTTCTTCTAAATACATGGTCTCGTGGTAGGAATCTGCGGTGACAGTCAAACCACAAACTTTTCCCTCCAAATTCCAAAGTAAAAGCCTTTGTAAATTCCATGCAATGTGGACATCCTATTTTGCCATGCGTACCCCAACCAGATAACATTCCATAAGCGGGAAAGTCATTAATAGTCCACATCAAGGCAACTCGCAAAGTAAAGTTTTGTTTGCGAGATATATCATAGGTCCATCTCCAATCCACAAGAGAAAAAATATGCGGTTCGGTTCGATGGACTTTTATAAATAAAACGAATCAAATCAAACTAATCCAATGCAGTTTGGGTTGGTTCAATTGATTCGGTTTTTATAAAAAAATTATTGAGTCATATATACACCTATAGAGAACAACATAACTTTGTGTTTAATCATTTATACATAATAAAATAACAATAAAACTCATCATATTTAGACACAAACTTCTCATTCAATATACAAAAATCAGTTTAGACAAAAAAAAATAGTAGCATAAAACAATATCAAAAATAAAACTGAAAAATAGAGAAGAAGAGAGATTAAAGAAGATGAAAAAGAAAGGATACAAAAGATGTGAGATTAGAGAATAA